GTAATACATGTGTTATTTGTGCCTTGGACCAAAGGGCTAGGGAAAGAAAATAACACTCATGAAGGGTTTGAAACAATTAGACTTAAGTCAAACCCCAAAGAGTTAATGCTCAAAGGATACTGGAATAGGAATATATTTGAGGATTTCAAATGTGTAGGCTTGCAGCATGGCTAGTTACCTTAAATTTCCTTGAAAGTACCTTAAAATTCAGTTACCTATTAGATGCAAATTACACACAATTTTTGTGTGCTACGTGCAGGTTTTTCTAGTGCAAAAGAGATTGATTACCAGAGGGGATTAATGCCTCTCACATCTGCAAGTCTTAGTTCAGATCAAAAGTGAAATAAGCCATACATGTTCAGAACGGACATGTGCACGCGTCATAAATGCTGCTGCACAGCCTGGCCTGATCTGAGAATGAAGAGGTCCAATTTTTTGTAGAAAGGATTGAGGGCTAAAATATTAATGTTTCATAAGTGATATAGATATAGCCTCAATTATTACTGTTTTTTAATTATTATTTGGATTAATCTCCAAATAATTCTCATTGGAAAATTTTCAGTCAAACTTTTTTTTTTTTTTTTTAATTTTACATGTATGCTACAATTTTGAAGTTGTATAGCCACATGATTTGAAGGACTGGCATTGTCTGGCATTTTTCCAGCTAGTCCAGCTGTCTTCAGAGGAACTGAGTAAGTTGGCAAAGCGTGGTGTGGTTCCCTTTGTTAAATCCAGCAGAGAGGAGAAAAATGGGCAGTAGCCAGTAGCTGTGGTGAGGGCTTTATTGTGTGAGTACTTTGTCTCTTTATCTTGGTTTCCTAAAATTCTCTCTCCTTCATGGTGGTTGGTTTTTGTTGGTTTTGGTTGTGGGTTTTTTTTTTTTTTTTTTTTGGTGCTAGGTTTCCTGAGGTTATTACTCTGCCACCTTCTCAGAAGCTGCTAGGGGAGCATGAGCTCCTCTTGCATCTTTCTCAGGTGCCTGTGCTGCTCTGAGATGTCATTCTGCAAAAATACGCAGACTTTGTCCTGAGTGTCTCTGGCTGCAGGAGTGGCCTCTGAGCATCCTCTGAGAAGGCAGGAACAGCCTCCTCATCTTTTAGTCACAATGTGTGAGGGATAGAGTTTCTGAGACTTGATAAGACCACCGGCAAGTGTGGGACTGGGGCTCTCTCAGGTGCTTATTTGACATGGCTTACTGGAAGTATGGATGAACAAATACAAAGATTAAAGTAAGCAGTGAGCTGCAGGTATGGACACTTCAGCAAACACAGCTGAGAAAAATCAATTTTTCACAAATGAAAGAGGAGGGAAAAAATCAATAGGGAAAGGACTGTTATTTTCAATTTAAAGATAGAGGAGTTGGGGTTTGATCTCAGAGTTCATGCATTCCTGTTTTCATTCACATGTTGCACAGCTCTGTCATTGGAAGAACTGTAGACTCTGTTGTATAGAGATCATTAAATATAAATGGCTGAAAGAATGTGAAATGCTCCCTATCCTTATTTATTTATTTACTTGTCTACTTGCAGACACTTCTCCCTCTGTAGTTAACTCTTGTGGATACTAGCTCCGTGTATGGAATATTGGAGTGCATCAAGCTTTCTGGGCTGTGAAGTCCACCAGCCTTTTCCTGGTTCATGTTTTGACAATATTTAAACCACACAAATCAGACTGTAGTTATTGATCTGTGTTTGTTTCTTTTTCAACAGACTGTGATTCCATCTGGCTACCTGATGGTGCGAGTGCCCCACAAAAACATAACCAGTATTGGTTAAGTAAAAATACAGAATTCGACTTTGCAGTGCTGTGCGCATTGAGATCTGGTAAATAAAATGTGAGTGGACAGAACCAGGTGGGATGCAGAGGACCTTCTTCTCTCATCTTGGTGTAGCCTGCTGTAATGACAGGGCAGAGTGCCAGTTTTTGATGTTAAAAGCAGAAGCAAAACAGTATTTTTGACTGATTCCTTTAGCTAAATTCCACACTGCCAAACACGTCTGCTAGCTTTAACTGTGTGAGAGCCATGCTACCTTGCAAATGCCCTTGCCTGGGAGGTAGGAGGCAAACCCATGTGGTGATGCAAAGGCTTTCTCTACTAATGTTCTGCTCGCTTGCAAGCAGACATTAGCTAGGTCTTGGCTCCACTGGCAACTCAGGAAAGCAAGTGGAAGTGATCATTAGGAAGGTACTGCCAAGTTCACGAGTGATCTGCAAAACTGCACATTCTCTTCAATCTGTGGTAACTACTTCTTCTAGGATATATTTTTTTAACTTAATTGGATTATTGTTTCTGCTGTGGATGACTCCAGCTATGCCAGTGTAAAAGTCTGTTGGGAGATGCACTTGCACCCACTAAAGGCTTAGAGGTTCTGTAAAGGTGGATTGGGAGAAATAACTGTCTGTCCTGACTTGTGTCAGTTAATTTATTTGCAAGAGCAGCTTACTACTTGAGTGCAAGTGTATCCAGAGCAGTTCTGCTGAGGAATGTTTAAGTGCATGTATTTATTTATGTGTGTCTGTATGTACATACATATGTTATATATATGCATTTGTCTGTACTCATACATGAGTGTGTGTAGTGTGTGTATATGGATATGAAATACAACAGTAAGGGAAGGTGACCTAGGCTTATTTAATTTAACACCTGATGGAGGAACTGTGCTCAGGTGTAATCAGCAGAACGTTCTTGCTGTGGTCAAAGGAAAGCTAAAAAGCCCTTCTAGATCTTGGGTGGGTTGTGATTACCTCCAGAGATGCCTGTCCCCATGTAAATTTTATGTAGGGAGAGTCTGCATTATCTTGTGTCCCTGTTTGGGTACTTTGATTAGATGCCTAACACTAGGGGGTACAGACATAGACCGTGATGGCAAAAAATAACGTAAAAGGATTTTTCAAATTGTCTCAATGACTGAGACAAATAAATGTGACTCTGGTTCTCAGTGGGATGTGTCTGAATGGCTGATATGCTCTTAAAAATGATGCTTAAGCTAGTACATAAAGACTTTTGAACTAAACCAGTTAGAAGCATACAAATTGCAAACTAATTACCACGTGAGACTATGTTCCTGTGTTCCAGGAGCTCCATCAGAAACCTGATACCCTAACTTTGCCCCATCATAGGTTGCTACATACTCAAGTGTGTCGGGATTTGAGTGTGTTATCCTTCCCTAATGAGAATATCCGATCTGAAGGGAGGGTAACCACTGGCTGGGGTGGTTTCAGCAGCGATCGGCAGCATTTTCTTCAGCGGTGGAGGTTGGAGGACGAGATGTGATGTAACCCGCAGTTGTCTACACATTGTGTTGCTGTGTGGAGAGTGGTGGGAACTGCAGTTCAGTCGTGCATTTCTCTCTCTACCTTGGCAGTTTCTTGAGGCTGTGCACGTTTTTTATCCCTGCAACTTCTGATATGAAGTGAAGCTGATGCGTCTGAAGAGGAAGGGTTATTGCAGGAAGAATACTTACCATGCAATTCGAGGAAAAGTTGTGTTACCATTCTGAAACCTTTTTTTTTGCTGGACTGAAGAAAGATAAGAGAGATAATCAGAGGGAAAAAAAGAATCATAGTTGTTTATGTTGGAAAAGACCTTTAAGTTCGTTGAATCTGACTGTAATTCTTCGTGGACACTCAGACTAACGTTTTTAGGGATTTCTTGTAGTTGTTTTGTATGTATGCACCTACATGGGAACACAGCCAAAGAAGTTGGAAGAAACCAAGATACTTGCTAGCTGGAGAGCAGAAAATACAGAACTACCCAGAATGTCACTCCAGTTCTAGCTGAAGTTAGTAGTGGAGAAAATAAAACTAGCCCCAGACTTTAAAAGCAATCTCGAGCTTTAACTGGCCACTCTCATGTGGGGATTGGAGAAAGCAGGAACATCTCTGGGATGGTATGGATCTTTCTTGCTGCAGAGTTTGATTCCTTCCACTGAGGTTGCTGTAGTTGCCAAGAACTTAAGTGTTTTCAAGGAACTGTCCTTCAAGTAAAGCAGAAACCTGCATGAGAGAGGGTTCCATGCTTCAGCAGAGCTTAGAGCATGGGTACAGTAGATGTTACTTCCTCTTTCTGTCTTGCCACTGGTTTGCTAAAATCCAGAATAGCTATAAATTTTGATATAATGAAAGTACTCTCACAAGTCCTATCACCATTTTATTATGCTTATATAGGACATTGCCAGATATGTATATTGTAGAAGTAAGGAAAGCACCAGTATTACAGCTGAGTAACTTTGAAATTTTATATTTTTCTGAATATTTTCATCCTCTCGTTTCTTTAAACACATTTTTCACATTTTTCCATATCTGACTCATCTTTGTTCTAATGTCTTACATTTGTCTGATGGTTTCTTTTTATGGCTCATTCACCTTTTTGTGTCTCTTTCCATTCTGCTCCCTTGCTCATGAGTATGCATATGCAAGATGCTCTTGCTATTTAAAAACATGTAAAGTCAATAGATGCAGCTTGCCTCAGTAACTTCATTTTACTTCCTGATTGTGGTAAACTCACTCAACTTTCTGATCCAACCATTTCTGTAATAATAGAAGCAGGAAAAAAACCCACCACACTCAACAAACAACAGCTAAAAGGCCATTGTTTCATCAGAGGAGTATTTGGAAGCTTCTTAAAATACTTAAAATTTTCCATACTGAAGGAGCAATAGAAGTGTGCACCATTTCTTTTGTATTTCCTCTCTCTGTCACTCACCCTGTTCTTCCTCCTTTTACCCACTATTTTTTACTTCATTCTCTTTTTTATGTTTATCCTTGCAGTGCTGCTTTCTATTACTTTGTCCTTCCATTTTCTTTCCTTGGAAGAGGTTATACTGCTGCTGTTCCTCCTGTCCCTAAAGGTAATTGCTACCACTTGTCCTCTCCCTCTCTTTGTTTCCTTCTGTTAGTGGAAGATGAGAAGGAGAAGACTCTGCTCTTGTGCAGCTGTATTCCTTGTTACATGGCTAATGGGCTTGGTCTCTTGATCATCTTCTTCCAGGGCGAACGTTTTTGGCTACCTAAATCCTATTGAAAATCAATGTATCTTTAACTGCTGATGAAATTATTGCCCCAGTGGCTGTTCTTGGAGCTCCAGAGAAGGATCTGGTCTGATTGCAGAGCAAGGCAAGGCCACTTGGTGTCTGCCAGTGATGGTAATCCAAGGTATGCATGGGGCTGGACCTGAATGAGCAATTTAGCAACTTTCTTCAGCAAATATCCAAATGCATGAAATGGCTGTGGGAAGGTGGGACCACCTTTACCTTAAGTACATGACTGGTCATGCTGTCCCATGCTTTTCAATGCCTTCTGGAAGAGTAAATCTATTATTCCTGGCTGGAAGGAGCTAATTTCAATCCCACTGACCCAGCAGGAGCAGTTTAATCCTCTCTGCAGCTGCTGATGGGTGTGTAGAGTGGTGCCAACCCCTTGTTGCTACTTTGGTTTAGCCTAGAAGAATAAAACATTGTCAGCTCTTCTCAAGTGAATAATATTTGTTCTTTGTATGTGGGAACCACACATCTGGTACCTTGTAGGATTTGGGTTTAAGATCAGCCTCTTTTTGGGGCATTAGGAGTTTGCTGATTCTGTTCAGCTCTTAAAAGTGTGGGTGAAGGCTTTGATGCTTCTGTGAGATGCTTCTCTCTTTCCATGCATAAAATCCCCGTCATGGGCTTCTGAGTGCTGGAGCTTAAGGATCAGATGCCTGTGAGCTTGGAGATGTGGTGGGGAATGTGTGGACACTGTTTGTACTGGATCTGGTCTTCAGGTCTGTTTGTGTGTGCCAAATACTGCCCAGCTTCCACAAACTGAGTAACTGGGCCTTCCAAACGTCAGAGTTTATGTTGTTCTGATATTAGAACGTAGTTGAGATTATGAATAGCTAGCTGGTGGAAAAAAATCATTGGGACAAAGTCAAAATGAAGCAGTTTGATCTGTAGTTTGAAGGGTACTTCATTGCAAAAAGAGGGGGGAAGAAAAGAGAAAGCTTTTAAAATAAAGCTGAGATAAGCACTGTCAGTGAAAGGACCTTAAAAAGGTTGCAGCCAGCAGTCATAAAGATAGGACATGTTATGGAAGCGATTGTAGATAATGGTTTAACTTGAACTATCCATTTCTTTTTATATTGTTACAGTAAAGGTTTTTGATAATATTAAGTAGCTGAAAATCCATATTTCTTTTACCATCTCTAGTTAAATATGTCCACTGGAAATCCCTGTTATTAGGGACTGATAAGTCTCAGCTGTAAAAATGTGTTCTGAGCAGAAACTTAGCATAGGATATCTCAATAAAAATAACATCACTTCAGCTACAAGTTACCTGCTGCCTGTAGAAAACAAGTTAACAGGACTGGAAAAGATACATTGTACTGTACTGCAAGAAAGTCAGCTATATTACAGAAATGGCATATTGTCCAGAAAAGGGAGCTAATGGTTTGTATGACATGTCTGTCTTGATACACCAATCTAAAGTGTCATCTTACATTATTTAAAAAGGTCATGCCATTAATGAAGAATGTAAAAAGTTTTGGAAAGCTTTTCAGTTATGCAGTGACAGCAGTTTGCATGTTCTCACATTTGTTCACCAGATACAGTTTTGATGAGACAGACTTAGCAAACTCTGCACCTCACTGTGCCAGAAGCAGTGGTCTCCATGTCCCCTTCTCCTTCCATTTTTACTCCCTTCCTTGTGTTGGCTCCAGTTCTGATTTGGCCTCTGGGCAAGCAGATTCAGTTCACTAATCTGCGTGACAACTAATTATTTAAAAAAGTCGATTGTAGAGTTGCCCGTTTGGTGACCTTAGTTCTCCAGAAGATTCAGATGAACGTCAGAGGTGGTGAACCAAGAGTTGACGATGTCAGTTGAGAGAGGAGATGGGGTAAGCAAGAGCTGGTTTCACCATGGTTTTAGATATGTTTCTCTGTTGTGGTGAATTGTGCTCTTCACCAAAAACATGACTGTCTTCTGGTAGAGTTGCTGCTCTGTTTTAAAACTGAGGAAGCTGTGGCTGGGGTGTATAAAGGGTTTCCTAGGTGGTACAGCGTGAAAAACAGCTGCAGCTGGGGACTACCTTGTGCTAAGTCTGGATTATTCCTTAAAATGACATTTCTCTCCTGCATGCAAGAAGCAAAAGAAATAATTAAATCATAGTTAGTTTCCTAAATTACAGCTTTCATCTATTAGATACATCTCAGTCTATGTCAAAGTCTTAAAACTTTCACTGCCACAGTCAAAACCTATTTTTGGGTAAATTGCATCACAGCAGTGATTTTAATCAGGGACCTGATGCTTGAAGACAGTGAGTAAACCTTTGCTGGGCTCTGAAATAGCCCATGCTCCCAACTTCAGTGGGAGCCCGTGCTCCCAACTTCCCGGGCACCTCACACAATGGAGTCATCATGTTTGTGTATGAGAGGATGGAAACACTAGGTCTGTAGTATTAATGATTCATTATCTTGAAGGATTAGTTACAAATTTGATACTAAAAATTTGACCTAAACAAACATGTGTTTTTCCCTCTGCCTTGAGCTGTATTTATGCAGTGTAGTTACGAAAGTGGCATAAAGGTTTTTTTCTCTGATTTTTCATTGAGAGCTAGTATGTAAAACTGTGTTTGCTGTACCTCTTTTAATACTCTTATGACTTAGCAATATAATAATTAACTTGAATAGCCTGTGTTTTCCACTTCAAAATCCATGAGGGTGAAACTGGCTTTGTATTTTATGAATAGTAGTGTAACTACTATCCAGTGAATCTGGATTGTTAAACTGTTTTAGGCGACGTGTTTATCCTCCGTCCTTCCATCCCTCCCCTGAAGAATGTGGGTTAAAAGTTAAAACATCTAAGTCTTGTGACTATATTTTGAGAAAGAGGATGCTTTGCTTTTGTGTTTGTGTTTTTTTTTTTTTCTTCCTTGACAGTATGGGGTTTTTTTCTGTTCTTCTTCAGAGCTTTATATTTTCATTAGTATGTGATTTGATCATTTAAAAAATAATACGGTGTTTGTCTTTGCAATTACTGTTGTGAGGCACAGATGGCTGTGGTACGAAGAACTGGATATTTGGAGTGAACTGTGGGAATTTTTCTGGTTTTCTTGCATTGAGCACCACTGCCAGTTGTTTGGCTGCTGCATGCATATACAGAAACATTGAATGCTGATTATCCATACCCTAGGTGTGGTTGCTTGCCTTTGGGCACCTGATGGCATAGTTCATGGAGAGCCGTGCTGGTGAGCATCCATTGCTGAATGCAGTGGCTGCTTTGGATAGATGCCCAGAGGTGCTGTGCATGTAGTGAGCTGGACCAAGGCAGAGCTCCTTTACTCTCCTCGAGATTTTTCCCAAGGATAGATATGTCCCACAACCCAAAACCAAGCATGACCTTCATGATTTACGGTTGAAGTGCAGGCAAAATTTTCCACAGTCTGCTTTTTGTTGATTCGCTCTGGTTTTATATGAAGTCAGTTACACCATTGCAAAAAAAAATATTACAGATATTGCTGAAAACCACTGTTTTAGTGTGGGGTTCTTAAGGATTTTGGAACTGAGACGCAACCTGGGCACTGTTACCTTTCTAGAAGGGAGAAAGAATATCATCTGAGGCTGCACCAGTTTTGAAGGGGAAAGGAAACTGAATGCTTCCTCCCAGTCCTCGGTACTGTGCGGAGTCTAACTTTAGCATCAAATTGTAATAATAATTTTAGATTCCATATGTAATTCTGTTGATGCAATCTGTGGAGTCCTGGGTGATTAATATCATGTATGTGTCCTGGTGCTTTGATCACAGATGATGGGAAAATACAGAAATCTGTTCCTCCTTCTGCTTCATCATGTGATTTGTATTCTCTGTTAGTATATAACAATCTGAAACTTGAAATTTCCTTTTGGCATATATTTTATATCTCAGATGGATTATACATGCTTACATAAACATTCCATATGTGCATAGAAGAAAAAAACCTAAACTGGTGGAATTATGACTTAGCTTTTCACATCTTGGAGGTTTTCAAAGTCTTTGACAGAGCAGTTGATCTGAGCTACTGAAGTTCCCTAGGGTCTAATAGCATGTTCTGGTCATGGCTTATGATTTGGCACTCAAGTAACGCAGGTCTTTATTTTCAGCTGAAAACATACCGTCACTTTTCTGGTGTCGGTATGAGCTGTGGCTATAGCTGTTGTTACGCTAGCCGGCATCACAAGTATAGGAAACACGCGACACTGTCACTGATTTAAAATACAATTTGTATTATGGAAAAGCTGAAATATCAGTGAGATAAACAATAAACAGTGAGAATTAACTATCTAATTTGTATTTCTGTAGTATAGTTTTTTTACCTCTTCAGGGTGCCATAAGTATTTGGAGGTTTCAAGATACATATCAAATACATATAAATACACGATGTATATTTTTACGTACACACTTGTATGCATATTTGTGATTAGGTGTTATGAAGAAAAATTGCATTTCTTTTTGAGCAGCTTAAAAGGAAAGTGTAATTTGGAGGGGTTTTTTCATTACAGTTTTAAGAAACTTGTGTGAAGTTCCACTGAACTCTGGGTCTTAAAATTGTGTAACTGGAATGGGATTTTAATATACTCTCAAAAACTCTATTGCTAATGTCTTAATGGTTGGAGAAATCTTATATAGAGAGGAAAAAAAGATGAATGATAGACTAACATAGGTTAGAGGGTGTCTCTGGAGGTGGTTCATTTGATCTGGTCCCTCTTCAAAGCACGGCTGAATTCAGTGAGGGTGCTCTGACCCTTGGGTATTCAAGTGTTAACATCCCCAAGGATGGATATTCAGTGACCCTTTTAGGCAATCTGTTGCAGTTTTTGATGACCTTTATCATAAAAACTTTTTTCTTTTCTGGTTTCACTTGCTGCAGTTGTGATCTTTACCTTCTGTCCTGTTCTTCCCCACATCTAAGAGGAGTTACGCTCTCTTGTCTTTGCAGTGTATAGTTACGCTCTCTTGTCTTTGCAGTGTATTAAGAAGTTGCAGACTCTGCTAAATTCCCTGCCAAGCCTTCTCTTCTTTAGGCTGAGCAGCTCCAGCTCTCTCAGACTGGCAACAAGTACCATGTGCTTCTGCCCTTGACCAGCTTGGTGATCTTGGTGACCTGACCTGTCTTATCTGTTGTGTTTGTCTGCCTTGTACTGGAA